GTAGACCCCCTTACATTGCTTACATTCTTTACAGTCCATACTATAATACAATATAACTTTTTTCTTCATAAATTTTTATAAATATTCCAAACTGTTAAAATTTAACTAAATTGACCAAAATAAAAATGAATATCTAGCGGCTTGAAAACAATTGCTACTCAAGTCCTTGGAATACAATGTTAAAGATCTAGCGTGGTGTAACTACGTAAGCGACTGAATCCTATTGGGTATTAAGCATTTGGAAAGCTATGTCGTCAGGATAGCTTCTCAAATATGTATTTTCCAATACTCTGTGCTTTATTTCTATTTTCTTCTTATACTGTGCGGACCTTTAAGATCTCTATATAACCATATATAAGTAATATATTAGAAAAGAAATATTCCTCCAAAGTGCTATCTAATGATAATCATATCAATTTCAAAAATAAGGTGGTAAAATTCTAAAGCCTCGTCATAACAAAGTGTGTGTTGCTTTATAATGACACAAGATGGATAAAACGGTACGTGCAGATAGTGTAAAACTCGCCAATCATTAATCAGATATTCTTACAGCGATAAATCTTAGAAAAAGCCTACGTATATAGGTCTTTTGAGGATACAAACCACCATTAGATAGTCATATAATGTGACTCCATCAAGATAAGATCAATTTTTTTCAAATCTTTTAATATCATTTAAGACTTCAGGCATTGTGAACATATACCCTGCGATCTCTTCACTTTTGTCATGAAATTCATCATATGTGGGACAGTACTTCCAAATATATATATTCTTTAATCTATATAAAGAATAGAAAAATTATCAAAATTTTGATGCTTTCCAGTAGATAAAATACAAAGAAAATTAGCATTTATATGTCTAAAAAAGGCTTAAGATGAAATAGAGTTTTCTATAAACGATGACTATTGGTATTGCCAATATAGATATATTTAAGTCTACCTGCCATCTTTTTTCTCTTATCTTAACTCATATTTCACGGATCGTATGCAATAATATAGGTCTCTAACGAGAGTCTAATCCGAGTCCAAATCCATTAGTTTCAAATGGGTGATTCTGTTCTAAAATATTCCTATTTTGGACACAACAGCATAAACTAAAATATTTTGCACAATTTTATAGGTTATACTATATAATGAAAGAGACATAATATATATGCTTTTTATATATTTTTAATTTATATTTTAACATGTTGAACCCGTCCTTAACCCATCCGTTATATGTCAATGCTTTTGTATTAACTCATAAACTACTGAATAGGGCGTATTTATGGAGAACTATAATGATTACCTTTATTTCCTTATTTCTCGTAAAGACATTATTAAATGCAAAATATGAATTCCAAAAATAACTAAAGTTTAGAACAAACAACAAAAGAAAAACTTAATAGTTAAAAGATTGGGGTATAAAAATACCTCAACGTTCAATGGCACCTTGACTACGCTGACTTTTGTTAGTATTTGCCAAACTTAAGGGTTAAAACTAATGGTCATTTAAATGAACTCAGGGTCACTAGCAGCAATTTTTGACGGCTTGGACCTTCTGAAAGATTTCTGAAGTTAAGCAAAAATAGGGTAATTAAATTGTCGTGCCTCACGCTACTACAGCATAAATCAGTAGCGTTGACTACTTGTAAATGGAACAAGGCATTAATAAAAATCAACCTTACTCAAATGAATATTCCTTAAAGTACTCGAAGACGAAGTAGGCAAAGGTCATGCCCACAATTTAATAGTTCCTGCTCATGACTTTTTATAAAATGCAATCAAAGTTAATGTAAGTACATAAACCTCCTTTTTTATGTACTAAAGACGCTTACTATGTACCGGAATTTACAGCATGAAAAGAAAAAATTAAAAGGTTTCCAGTGGACTTAATAATTTAGAATATTTTTGGTTTAACTCAACAAAATTTCAACAGTTATTTGCATAAACTTAAATGTTACATTCCTTTCTGTTTTATGTTTTCTTAATAATATTAAAAAATACTTCAAGGTTTACAAACATTTTTTTAGCAAACTTATAAATAAATTTGGATAATATTAAAATAGATTTTAAAAAAATTATTTTCCTGATAATACTAGTAAGATAGATGCCAATACCAGTCTATATGATGAAAGACAGGCTTACATTGGTTCAAAAAAATTCTCCCATTGTACATATTAAATTGTGGCATATGTCATATTAAAATTTTAAAACAGACTACACTAGGAATCGATACTGGCCTTTAAAAATTGGATACATACATAAGGACAACAACCAAAAAACACAAATATCCCCACCTGAAGCTGCAATCAAGCATGTTAAGATAGCCAGGAGATTTGGAGACAGAAGAATAACAAGTCTACAAGCGCTTTTTCAACGGTAAATATACAAACTAAGTAATTACTTATATATCAAGTCCCAAGTATTTGATGTATTCACATATACCCACAAGCAGACGAATCTAAATCACCACTAAATTTGAAAAACAGCGTTCCCATCAACCAACCCACATTGAAAGTTACAATAACAATATGGAAATCAAAAACAATATATGTAAAATACCCAAAACAAATAGACCCACATATAAACAAAACCAATGTAACAGAGGTTTTTTTTACAACAATACAAGAACGTGTGCAAAATACTTTCTAAAAAAGTCTCTATATAAACGAAAATCACAGTAACTGACTTGAGGGCAGAGTTTCCAGAAACATTATTATGTATATCCTTAATGGATGTACTGCATTACTAGCCATTAAATATAAAGAGAGGCACTATTGTATGTGCCTATATAATAATACAAATACCATCCAAAACCCATACTTAGTAAAACCAATATACAATCTAATGGAACAGATCAATATTAACACATACGCCGCTTCCACTCTCCTGTGCATCTCCTTTGCAGTCTTACTGGCTAGCAATATAAGAGAAACATGCAATAACAGATGTATGCATAAGTTTTTTCCGGGTTGATTGAAAGATGGCACAAATGGGCCAGAAGTTTTCGCAGAGTGATTTTATTACTCAACAACACGCGGTCTCACACAGCAAAACTAGTGAAGGATGAGAGTTTTTTCAACACCCGTCATATTGCCTAAACCTGGCGTCTTCTGACGATCACCTCTTTGCATCAATAAGCCACACGTTCGCAGAGCAGAACTTTAACAATTTCGAAGAAATTCGAAAATGGATCGACGAATAGTTTGCCGCAAAACACAAGCAGTTTTTCTGAAATGTAACGTATTCATAAATTACTTGAAAAATGGGCTAAATTTGTGGAAACAGATGACCAATAATTTGAATAAAATAAAATTAATTACCCTTGAAAATTACATATTATTAAATATTAACAACTAGTACCTTTAAGACAACAACAATCTAAAGATACTAAAAATAATCCTAATAATTATCATTTCAACTGAAATTGGACCACAGAGCACATTTTCTTAGTCTAAGACTCGGATTATGAAAAATTCTAATAATAGTAATAAAAATATCATTCACCACAAAGGCCTACGTTGTATTAAAAGTTAGTCATATGTATGTATATAATTTTTATACTAAATACTTAAGAATATTTATAATTATTTTTATTTTATAAGCTAAATCACATTACAAAGCGCCTCTTCAACCTAACTAAATGTTTTTAGTAATTCATCAAAATATGGTAATTTATCGCTTTGATGTGATTATAGCCCCACCGTTATTTTTTGAAATCCTAAAATTCCATGAATCGCAACGATAATTAAAAGCCTTCAATATAAACGCCATTTGCATACAACCAAACTACATAACATGATTTCTTACAAAATAAATAGAAAAACACTGTAATTTCAGGGCTCGCACGCAGTTTTCAAAACATTTTAGAAACCAGTCAGAAGGACAAAACCAATATTTCACAACACTACTCCAAAACATTTGTTCTTGTAGTTGAGAAGCAAATGTGTTAAACTAACCACAGGACAAAGGATATTTAATTGCAAAAGCAATACTAAACATCTAAAAAAAAATATATATGTATATTAAATAAAAAACCACTGCATCGCGGCTAAATTAACATTATTACAATAAAGCACAAAACACCACCACAACAACATCAATAACAGTATTAACAGTAATAATAATAACAACAACAGCAACAACAGCAGCAGTAATAACAGTGACAACTCAGTGTTACTAAAAAGCAAATGAAATTAAATATAAAAAAGTCAAGACAATCTAACATGAATAATCAAAAAGCAATAACTAAAACAAAAACAAAAAAAAGAAAAAAAACAAAAACAAAACAATAAAAATAAAATTGTTCAACACTTACTTATTAATGCACGGCTGAATGAACGCCGTACAATGGAGCACATTGTGAAAAAAATAAAAAAAAAAAATTGAAACAAAAATAAAAAACGTTATATTTAGAGAGCAAGTGACAAACGACAAACCGATAAACCCATACAAACGATAGTATGACTCCCTTAGCCCACAAACAGCCCAATGAACAGTGAATATAAAATATGCAATAGTTTATTTATGTCACTTTGCTGCATTCATCAAAGTGCAAAGAAATGCACTGTGGGCGGGATTGATTGATGCAGTTGAAAAAAACGAAAACGAGTTAGCAGAAGACAAAGATTTTTTTAATCATTTTCATTATAACAGTGGTTCTGTTATAACATTTATTCTTATATTGTTAAATCTGTCTGGCTCTTACAATCGCAACTTGTTTATTGTATTGTTCAGCCGCCTCATTATCTCGGTTCAATGATACCCGAATGCTTTTAATTTCAATATATTCATTTCGTTATTTATTACCTATTTACATTTCTCTTAAATTCGTCATCATATACATATCATTTTTATTTTTTTCAAATGAAATTTGTTTTTTTAATAATGAAACTGTTATGTATAATGTGACTTAAATCTAGAAACTATATCTATGTTTTACTGAATAGCGCTCCACAAAAAATATGTGTATACTCAACATTAGGTTTGTCGCGAGAGAGCACCACGAAGAACAATATTATTAGTTAATTTGTAACATTTGACAAAAAATGCAAAGCAATATTTAGGTTAGGTTAGATTATACCAGTGATCCTAAGAATCCATTTAGACCTATTGGCCCATTATATTACCATATGAGAAGCTTAGAGGTTCAATACCCCCTTTCAACTTTCGACAAATCTTAAAATGCTTTTTAGAAAGAGGTGCTCGAGTTGGTCAAGATAGCAGGTGCACTGAGAACTAAAACATATATTGTGCTCCTTAGTCGGATTAGAGTGCTTCTCCAAGTGCGATTTCTTTAATAAAAGACAGTATAGAGCCTATCTTTCCTAACCCTCATTCTCTATTTTCCGTGAAATACCCTCCTAGATGTTTCTTCCACTTGTACATCAATGCCGGGTACTCCCCAAGTACATGGTATGAAGTTTCTCTCTCTTCTCTACAGTATCTGCAGTCTGAGTTGGATTGAGTTCCTAACTTCGATAGGTGATTATTCAATCTACAAGGACCGGTTTGTATTCCCATAATAATTCTTAAGTTATTCTCTGTTATTAACATATGCAATCCTTAAAGAATTTTAGGTTGTAAGTCCCAAAAAGCACCCTTCACAATATAGTTCTCTTTTGTTTTCCTTTGCGCTATCCATAAAAAGGGTTGGAGCTTCTTTACCTAGACCTCAAATAGGGTATGGGTTCTGGGCCTATCATTATTGAAGCCGCGTCTTTCTTTGCGAGTTTGTCTTCCATCTAATTACCTAGGCTTTCAGCGTGCCCCGGAATCCATATTAAGTGCACCTAATTGCTCAAGTCAGGTATGTTCAGCTGGACAATGCACTCCAATACCAGTTTAGATGTCATCTGGTAAGACATGAGTGCCATTTTAGTTGCCTAGCTGCCAGTCAGTATTGCAATTCTACGGTTTCGGTAGTTACGTGCAAGATTTATCTATCGCGTATATTTCCTCTTAAAAGATGGTTACATACTTTTCCAGTAGTTCCCAGTATCTTTTGCCTGATCCATATACACCAGCTCCAGCTCCCTCACCGTCTGTATACCATGATATTATATCCTTTTATTATTTGGGTTTTGGGCAAGTCTTCCCAATTGCTTCTCTATTTTGAAGTTTTTTGTAAAGTTATGCTTTACAATCATCCTGTCATTTTAGATTCTGCGATTTGTGCAGCTAGAGTGGTTTCTCACTTTTATATAAAAAATGCAAAATTCATTTAGGAGAACGGATCTCGTTTTAATATTTGTTTAATTTATAATCTATTGAATCTACTTTAATTCAATACCTAAGTCTTGTTGTTTTTTGTGCTTGTTGAAATATTCGTAAAATATTAATTTTTCTTAATTAATTTTTCAAAGTTTCGGAGATCAATGCTTTATCACACAGCCCCCTTCTACAAAGTTTTTTGGGCAAAAATTCACTAATATATATAATATTAAATTTTATTCCTTATACACCATGGCTAACTCGTACGGTTCTACTAGAAAAAACAACAGGAAGTTGGAAGTTCACTGTAGAGTATCATATTCAAGCCACTATGTATATTGTCTTAAGCTCAAAATGTAGAGTCTATGTTAATTACGTATGAACCGACAATCCACTTCGCAAGCAATTCAACATTACGCGTGCCTACTGAAATTGTAGTTGTTATTTAAACATATATTCTTATATATCGTGACTTTCAGCGATTTTCACTATTTAATTGGAATTGAATTAGGTGAGTGTTTAAGTAAAAGTGTTTCTTGAGTGAATAACTACCAATAAGCTAAGTGCTTGAACAGATCATAGTACACGTTCTCTGCAGAGCAACCCAACCCAACCTAATAAATTATGCATGGAAAACCAATTCAAACGATTGAAATGTCAATTATAGTTTAAATCGATTATATTGAATTAATGCTCCATTATGATGGTTTCCAAAAATATAGGCAACTATTATTTCACCAAGGGAAAGAGTACATCAATCAGAACTCTAATGCATTTAACTACCCAAAGCTCATCGTGTGTGTGCATCGGGGGTTCACATGCAAATCGTACCGCATTTGCTGCGTATGTGTTCAGTATTTTTTTTAATTGAAGTGTCATTAAAGAAAAAAATTGATTAATGAACGTTACAATCCATTACAATCGAATTATTCTTATTTATTCATTTATTTATACAACTATTTTTTGTTGCTTTCCAATCGTTATTAATTTTGTTTATATAATTAGTTGGTTCCTTCTTAATAATACATGGCGTAGGGCGTTTCTTGCGCGCTTTCTTAAAACAGTTCAGTCATTTGTGTTACGATTGCTTACAATCGAACCACATTTGTCGAATGGGTTGAGAATGTTTCAGAAACCAACGATGGCAATCAAATCGAAGTTTGAAATAACATAAGGTAAACAAATAGCAACCAAATGACAATTTCTAATACGAAAGTTACTTAGTTTTTAATCGAGTTCAATATCATTAAAACTACTGACTAAAAATGCTCGTGTTTACTAAAGGATGAGGTTCTTCACCATTGAACCTTTTTACTTACTTTACTTACTAACTTAACTTTACTTTTATTGCTTCTCAACGATGTACTATAATTTTTTATTTTTTTTATTTTTTTTTTCTGTTTCATTAGTTTAACTATAGTACATACATTATCGTTTACACTTTTTGGGTCATTTACTACAATTATTAACTTGTGATTAATGGAAGCGTTCATTAACTGAGAAATATACTTGTTTTGAAGTCTTTTTGCCTAGAAGCTACAAAAGCAAAAAAGCAAAACATCGAAACACCTAACATTTCGAAATGGCGCAAAATGGCACTTGGTCAAGCAGTAGTGGAGCAAGTTCAAATTCATCAACAGCACCACCTAGCGGAAGAGGAACAACTGGTTTTGGAACTGCACCTCCACAGGAAGAGCGATTAGTGGTATGTATTTATGTATTTCTACAAAAATCTTTTCTCTTTTTTATTTAAATTTATTTGAAACATGTTTAGTTGAACCTCTACTTTAAATTTATAAGATTAAAAAATAGTAATACATAAACACAGAAATATAGATCTCCACATTTTAGTCATTAGTTCGATCTATACGAAAAAAAGTAAAATAGTAAAAATGTAGTGATACTCCTAAGCAACGTAAAGTTTCTTGATAGGTATTCATTTCTATTTAACCGCAGAGGTATTGTTGAACAAGACAATGATATTATCAGTATGCATGCGAAATCTAAGTGCTCTACAAAAATCACCCTAACCTTTTAGTCGTGTTAAAATTAGGAGATTTGTTAGCCTCTTATTTGATGAAGCCAGATTCTGGAGATATTGCAACCGTAAATTCACCAATTCCAAAAATTATGAGCGTAGAATATTTTGTACTAGAAAAAAACGTTGAGAGAATACTTCGAACCTGAGGGTGCCCAAATGGATTACGACAACTAGCTAAGCAAAATTGTGGTGTGTTTATACCATATTATTAACAAAGACCGTTAGGCATAAAATATTGGATATTATGCCTTACTAATTGATGATCATTTAGGTTTTAAAATAATCTTAACCATAGTCCTCAGAGTGTTATATATTGATTTTTTAAAATTAAAAGGTCTGATTCTTTGAAATTAAAACCCAACCTAATTATCTGCCCATATTCGCTATGTTTGTATGTGATATTTTATTTACTTTCTTAAATAGTTCTTTTTTGAATACATTTTATATTTTACGCTGATGGTTAATTCCAATGTTTTGACTTATAGGTTGTAGTGCGCGTGAGGCCATGTTTTGAGCAAACTGATAGATGTATTGAAGTCATATCAAATAAATCTTTATTTTTTGATGATGGTGGCAAGAGTCGACCGCGCAAATATTCCTATGATCATGTCTTTAAGGAAGGGGACTCACAGGTAAGATTTTATTAGAACTCTTGCAAAATGTGTTATTTACGAACACTTTTTTTTAGGAAATGGTGTATAAAACGACAACAGCTCCTTTGGTAAGAGATGTTCTAAATGGTTACAACGCCGCTGTTTTTGCGTACGGTGCTACGGGATCTGGAAAAACACACACAATGCTCGGACCTTGTAGAAAAAAAACTATTTCATCTAGCACAACAGCTGAGCGAGGAGTTTCTACAGCGGTAGCTTACGATTCTGATCCCAATAACAATGACAGCGGACTTATGGTGCGCGCTATAGAGGAGATATTTAAATATGTAGAAATAGCGAAGGAAACAAATATATGTCAAGTATGTATTCCTTAAAAAGCTTTATATGTTATATATTTTATATTTTCTGCTTTTTTTTTATAGGTTTCTATTTCATACTTGGAAATTTATAATGAACTTATACGCGATCTGCTTAATCCAGGTGGTCCTTTGGAATTACGTGAAGACAATCGTGGTCAACGCATCACTGTTGCAGGACTTTCCGAGATAACTACCACAAGTCATCAGCATGTCATATCTTTGCTTATGAAAGGTAATAAAGCCCGTACGATGGAACCAACTGCTGCAAATCAGACATCATCACGTAGTCATGCATTGCTTAGCATTACTGTGCAAACAAAGACTCCACTTGGCACAAAGCAAGGCCGTCTGTTTCTCACAGACTTAGCTGGTTCGGAACGTGCGAAAAAAACGAAAAATCGTGGTAAACGCTTACAGGAAGGCGCACATATTAACCGGAGCCTTCTGGCATTAGGTAATTGCATTAACGCTTTGTCTGGTGGTGCACGTTATGTTAATTACCGAGACTCAAAGCTCACTCGTCTATTGAAGGAAGCGCTTAGTGGGAAATGCAAAACAGTAATGATAGCACATGTTGCACCTGAAGGAAAACATCGCGATGAAACGAAAAACACTTTAGTTTATGCAGATCGAGCGAATAGTATCTCTACTCGTTTACAAAATTCTGTTTATATTGATGAAGTGAAGGATTTTCCCACAAAACATTATCAAAATCTTGTTTCGGAATTACGCGAAGAAGTTACGCGATTGCGCTCCAAAATGCTCACCGACAGACCTCGTAGTGGTGCCGCCGCCTCAATATCGACACAACCTCTTAATGATGAAGATGATGAAAAACGTAAAGCTGAATTAAGATACTTAAGAGAACAAATAGTCTTAACTTTTAAACAACAAATGAAACTGAGGCGTAAATTACTGGAAGCTGAGAGTCATTTATTGGGTTTGGAACTAGATGCTGAACGTCAACATATGATTATATCACATTGGCAAGGGCGTTTAGGAAAGCTTTACGATCTGCCTGGAGATGAAGGTGGTGACATGGTTTTTTATTTGGATTAAAAGTATTAGTTAAAGAATTAATTATATATTAAACTATATATTTAAGATATAGAATCTGAAGGGTCTGTTGCTTTAAAAAATGCTTGGGGAGAATTAGCTGCTATTGAGAAAGAAACAAGGCGATATAAAGAAATACGTGAACGAACTGAACAAGAGCTTGAAATGTGTAGGCAAAAAGGTGTCCAACTAGAAGACGTAAGTATAATAATTCAAAAATATTCAGAACCTACAAATAGAATTGTTAAACAAATTGAATAACACTTTTTTTATTTTGAACTTGATTTGCTTGATTAGGAACTTCCTGAACGTATAAGTAGTGATGAAGAACGGGAGCTGTTAGCTTTACTTTGTAGAGTACATGAATTAGAAGCCGACAAAGTATCTTTACAGGCGGAACGCTTGGCGAGACAGGTTTTAGTTTTAGAAACTATGATTCCATATTAACATTTATAAAATTACAAAATTTTACAGGCTGAACTGCGAAGACGTGACCTACAGTTATTGCGAGCAGAACGTCAACGCAGATTATGTGAAGATATCATAAGTTCACAACGTAGACTCATTGAGGAAGGGAATGTTGAACTGCCTGATGAGCTTAGAGAATTATATGGCCTATACCAGCAAGAAATACATGCGGGTTCTGTTACGCCGGGCACATCATATGAAAGGAAATTACCTCCAATTTACACAGCTGGGTATAAATATTACATAAATGAATAAGTTATATTTTATATGATGTATTACATATTATTATTAATAAATCATATAAAATATTGATCTACTGAAATAAATTTTAATTTTTATATTTATTTTATATTTATACAGTTCTGAATCACCGGAATCGAGTTCAGGTTCCGAATGGTCGCCGTCTTCACCACTGCCACCCATAGAAGGACATATGGCTACTATTTCTTCTGCAGAGTACATATCAGCTCATGAAGGTCCTGACCGCCATATGGGACCAGTAGTGAACCCACGTTTGCCTAAGTTACCAGCAACAAGTACTTCTACAATGCGTCGTGCATATAGAGTCTCTAAGCAGTCTTCTACTTAAATTGTATATTTATTTTTATTGAAAAATGATAAGTAGTTGTAATTGCTCAGGGAAAAGTTAAGTTGTCAAGCAGATAGATAATATTTTTGGTATATTCAATTTATAAGCTTTTTTCTTCTATAAATATAAAATATTTATAAATATAAAATAACAAAAACCAAATCAATTCAATTTTCTTTATTTAGTTTGAATAAGAGATATTATTTTTGCTTACTTGAATTTAAGTCTAATAAAGAGAAAATGATTTATTCATGGCAGTGGATTTATATTTGTTTTATTTAGAAAATTTTATATAAAAATTGAGTGTTTCAAAATTAAACCAGCAATTGTTACTATTGCTTCCATTACATTATTTACAATAAATAAAGTTTAATTGTTCAAATTTAATTTTAAGAGAGTGTATGGCAACCCTACGCCACAACATTAAAGACCGACAAAAATAATATATTCGTGTCATCAAGCCGGAGAATGATACAAATAGAGTAGATATCGTATTAATTTCTTGTGTTCAATAACAATTTATTCAAAAAATGAAAATAATATACTTGGCTGTGATTTTCCTGTGCTTCCAAGTAGCAACAAGCGATAAGAAGCATAGTAAAAAGTACTCACGTGAGGCCAATAACCAGCATTTCACTACAGAAAAGTATGACCCAGAATTTCGAAACTTACAACGACCTTTTCGTATGGCGAAACTTAATTTGGTCTGGACTAAAGCACAAAATGTAAGTCAATATTTTTCTCAACATTTAATGTTTTCTTGATTTTTAACCTTTCTATATTACAGCGGCTTACGGAACCGAAACTGAAGTCATTGTATATGGAACTGAAAATACAGGATAAAGAAGAAATAGCTTGGAAACAATTGAATTCACAGCATAAAGATAAAGATGGTCTAAAGGAAAATGAACTGAGAAGAAAACTAATTGGTATTATGAGTACTTATGACTTGCTGGAGCATTTTGAAGAAACTGAAGATACGGGGAAATTGAAACCATATAAAGTACGTACCTATTTAAAATATAAAAAATTAATATAATTAATTTAAAATATTTGATTAAAGAAATTTCATGATCCAGAAGAAAGGCATCTTAATAAAAATCTTTTCAAAGATAAAAAACTTAATAAATTATGGGAAAAAGCGGAAGTTTCTGGCTTTACACAAGAAGAACTTAACTCATTGAAACAAGAGTTTGAACATCATCAAGATAAGGTTGACGTGTACTATAGCTTGCTCGATAATGTTGGTACTGCTGATAACAGAAAACATGAAAGTAAGTAGTGTAATTAAAAGAAAACATATATTTAACCGAATGAATTATGCTCTCTGGCAGATGCTGTTGATGAAGATGAGTTAGACAATTTTAACATGATCTCAAATGATCCTAATGACAATGAAATCAATACTCCACAAATGAATCTCAAAAAATATGAAAATGAAATCAACACTTTACGTGATCACCATCGTGGCATCAAGGATCATTATGATAGACTTGAACGTTTAGTATCATCAGGACCACATAGTCAGGATTTTATCGAACCTAAAGTACAAGGTTTGTGGCGCGTTGCACAGGCTAGTAATTTTACTCACAAGGAACTCTCTTCTATTAAAACTGAACTGCATCATTTTGAAAGCCGCTTGTTAAAACTGAGGCACCTGCACGCAGAGCATGCCATGCAAGAAGAAAGATATAAGGTAATTAAATTTTAAAATAGATAAAAAATTTTTGTTTTAATTTTAATTTTTAGAACGATAAGCATAAGGACAAAAGTGACCGTTTTACTGAAATGGAAGATCACATTAAGAAGCAAACACGTAAAGTAGAGAAAATACAAGAATCTATAGAGAAAACGATTTTTAAACACTCTGAGCTTTAATTCTGACCTATTATAAAGTGAAATCATTGCACAAATTAATTATACGATCAAATAAATATATATTTTTATATTAACTACATATAAGAATAAACTTTAAGTGTTAAAAATATGTGCCAAAGGGCTTATAAATAATTATAGAAGTAATGTATTGATATATTTTTATACTTTACAAAACTGCTTACAATTTTGTTCGAATATGTTTTTTATGTAAACTTGTGTTAATACAATTATTACAAATAAATATTTATGTTGTTTTTAAAGCGAAAGGTTTAATTTTTCTAGATATATATCGATGCATATATAGCAGTTATTCGAAAACTATGTATTTACAGAAACAGTTTAGTGCACTATTCTTATATTTGCCCTTTAATTATAAATCAAAATATTTTTGTATTCCCACACGATTGGAGAATTCGTTATCTCTATATACCGTCATGCTACTTTTTCTTTGCGAATATGAACCGTCTGTAATTTTATTGTATAGAATTTGACATGGTTTTTAAATATACCCAAGTTTTTTCCGGACATATAAATTCTTGTTTGTAGACGAAATTCGAAAATAATATATATTCACATTTTACCATACAAATCTTGCCAAAATTTTGACAGTGTAGAAGCCTAGTTAAATGTTGCATTTGCAATTTCACCAGCTGCTAACCTTTATATTTAATTCAAGTTAATAATATTTTCTTTTTAACGCAAATGGAAAATGTTTAACATCGAAATTTTTAATTCGAAATCGAAATCGATTACGATTTTTATTAAAAACTTCTGATAAACGAAATCGATTATATAATTTCCAATAAATATACAATATAATGATATAATTCTCTTAAATATAGCTATAAGGTATTAAAATTCAACAATTAAAAAATATAATTAATTAATTAAATTATTCTAGAGCTGATGTATGATTTCGTTCTAATATAAACACAGCAAGTGAATTTGTTAATGAAGTTTCACAGCAAATTAACAAATCTCCAAATTTGAATATATAAGTCAAGTACGGCTTTAAGTCAGTTGATTAACGTACGCTGACTCTGAGCTTAAAATTTGGTAGGACACGAGTTCGATTTTAAGTACTTGTAGTCTCAAAAAATTATGTACTTGTAATTAAATACAAGAATTATTTTCAAGACCTCTGACTATGGGTATTTGACATAACTCGAAATAGCTGTATGGTTAGGCAAATATTCAATTAATTAAAATAATATAAAATGAATTTTTGTTGTTTTTGTTTACTACTGTTCGAAAAATTTTGATATATATTATCTAAAAACTGAATTTGCTAACTTATACAACTAGTTTATGTTAATTTATAATAATATTATTAATATATATAATTTATCAAATTACAATTAACTGCTAAACTATTATTGTTTTTATCCAAAAGGATTAGCAGACCAGATTTGAATGTGTTACATACCAATAATAAATTACAGCATGTTGTATGGAATGTTTATTATCCGCTGTAATAAAATTTGCATATAAGCGTTATGCATGTGTGGCAACACTACTCATTGTATCATTTTAGCTAATGTATGTCGATGACTTCGAAGTCAAGAAGATGTAAAACTTAGAAATATGGTTTTTGTAGAAGGTGCAAAGAAAAAAACATAAGTTATTAAAACGTTAGAAAATAATTGTAAGTTTTCATTTTGTCAATATATTTGATATGGTGATAAATACCATTCTCCAATCTACAATTTGTAATTTTTTCTTCGATAGATACATCATATAGCACAACGCTGCCACCGCCCAAAATTCTGCGTATAATTATACTTGGCTTCAGATATTGTTTGTATTTTATTACTTACAGTGAAACTAGCACAAATAAAAAACGTGTAGCCAGATGGTCATGGCAAGTGAAAACATAATGGACGAACTAGCAACATTAATCCGCACAGAAATTCCTGATGGACGTCAGAGCTTACGCGACAGTCATACAAACTTAGAACGCGTCGCAGATTACTGCGAAGATACCTATTATCGGTACTTGCTTTAAGACTAATATTTATTTTCCATGTTTTATATACTTTAATATATTTGTACATATTGTTAAAACATAGCGCTGACAATAAAAAAGCTGCATTGGAAGCTACAAAAAACTATACGACACAGTCACTAGCCAGCGTAGCGTATCAAATTAATACATTGGCTTACAGCTACATGCAGCTGCTGGAATTGCAAGCGCAGCAATTAAGTGAAATGGAATCACAGATGAACCATATAGCACAGACGGTTCACATTCACAAAGAGAAAGTAGCAAGAAGGTAAATAGATATATTTTAATTCTTTTCTAAATATAATAATCCTTAATCATTTAGGGAAATTGGTGTGCTTACTGCCAATAAAGTGAGCTCGAGACAATTTAAAATAGTTGCACCTATAAATCCTGAAAAGCCAATTAAATATGTACGTAAAGCTATCGACTATTCCATACTAGATGAAATAGGCCATGGAGTAAATGCCTCGCAGTCGCGACAAAAGATTCGTGGCTCAAGCCATGGTTCAGTGCAATCTTTAGTGCCTTCATCACAGGCACCATCAGTTGGCCCTCCACCAACTACTAAACCACCAACACCGCCTCAAATGTCACGTGGAAATACGGGTACACTGGGCAAATCGGTTAGTAATACAGGTACTTTAGGTAAATCAAGGGAGTATCGTACACCGCCCGTTGTTAATCCACCGCAAGTGCCTTCGCATTATGCTCCAAACTATCCAATTGGCCATCCAAAACGTATGTCATCTGCTTCTTCGAGCACAACAGTAACTGCTGGAGGCAACGAACGTGGAGTTGGTTATAGTGCTTTACCTATGCCACCTAGCCAACAAATAGCAACTCATGTTAATCTACCTTCGGCAGGATTGATGCAGTCACTTCCACCTCCGCCACCCACAACATACGACGATCGCAGTAGTATGCCACGTAAGCCTTACACTGATTCTAATATAAATTATGTCAAAAATATTAGGAATTTATATTTAAACGATGCGCATTTCACACATAATATGAAACATAATATGTGTGCATAATATGAAAGGTCAATACATGAAATACAATGTCAAGTGTTATTCGTTTAAATAATGTATTCCAATTATTGTTGGACACAAGACGCAACTACTTACAAATTTACTTACAGCACCACCATCACCGTTGACAGTATCGCAACATGAAATCACTGAACAAAGTCATATTGGCATGCATACATTGGGCAGGAATATTAATAGGTAATATATTATATATAAAAGAATTAATAGATATATAAATTATTTTCGAATTTTTTTTATTACCTTTCGCACTTGCTAGAAATGGTAACAGGTAAACCTGTCAAACGCAAAAGTTTTGTTCTTCTTTAATTATCATTAATTTTTAGGAATCATTTTAGTTTGAACTTCGCGCGGCCAGGATCTCAATCACCACCGTTGCCTCCACCACCTCCACCAGAGGATGAACATCAAGATTTTGGTAGACCACGAACATCTACTGCACATGGACAATTAGCACCAATTGTGCCTGAAGACCAAAATTTGCCTGGATGGGTGCCAAAGAACTATATTGAAAAGGGTAACGAAACAAAATTAGATCAAATTAGATTGTAATCAAATCACAATATTCCTTTTAACAGTGGTTGCAATATATGACTACTATGCAGATAAAGATGATGAATTAAGTTTCCAAGAAAGTTCCGTTTTATACGTTTTAAAGAAAAATGATGACGGCTGGTGGGAAGGTGTTATGGATGGCGTCACTGGCTTATTCCCTGGTAACTATGTAGAACCATGTGTATAAGAAATCAATCATAGTTCTACGGGTACTGCCACGTATTTTTTAAACGATAACTTTATGCATAAATCAACAATATAATTATATATATGATAATAGTAATCTAAATGAAACTGGATTTTAAATATCAATTTTTAAGTATTTCGCATAATTATACTATTTAACTTTTATATTGGATAAGAAACTTTTGCCTTTTTCTACAAAGTAAAAGTATAAAGAATTAATTGAATAAAACAAAATTTTTACTGATTTTTCTACTTAGAGAATGAATAACAAAATTAAATAGTTAAATAGAATTTAGATTTAAATATTTATACTTTTATCATACATATATTTTCAACTCTTATATAAATATCCGATTCCATGTATAAGCAATTATACAATGTTCTTAATTAAGTTTATATTATGAATTATATATAATATAATACATATTACTTTATTTTAAGCAAATTTAAGAACCATCAATAAATGATCACAAATAGTTCCATAGGCATTTGCTACAACTTTTTCATAAATGTTATATATTAATCTAAAGCCAATTATACGCAGTGTGTATTCATTGCCTTTAGTTTATATAAAGTTTAAAGAAAATATATTAATAATTTATCTTACATAGCTAAAACAATTTATGTTGCAAATACAAATGTATAATGGTTAATAAATATCATGAAAGCAAATATTTGTATTTTAATTTTAAGTTGATTCAAGTGTTGTCGTATTCCGCTGGGATCTGCTTGCCGATTCCATAGACCCGGCCGTTCATAATCGAAACAAAAGAATATAAAATCTAATTTTGATTTCATCAAAAAAAAATATATATATATATATATATAAATCCATATTTACTGTTAACATATATGTATAATATAAAAAAAAAACCACTTATTTATGCTGTTTATTGTTTTTTATAATAAGCACTTCAGTTATAAAAGCTAACATCATTCATCCGCTTACCTAAACTGAATAAAGGCCCGTTCTATATGGTTTCACTATAGTTTACTTTTTATTTAACAGTCTCTTTTGATTTTAAATGTAAATACGCAACTGTGAGATCTCTATTTTGAGAATATTCTTTTTATTCGGAACATCTTGAATGTGTAGTTAGATTCAATTCTAATGGTAATTCAATTTGATCTAATTGCTTATCATTCTATTTTATCTCGTTCTAAATTATAAGAACTAACTCTCATTATTCAGATCCCTCATATCGGTTTTACCATATTCTCTTATAACCATAACTTGCACTTAACAATATAAATCAAAGATATAAATGGTATGTGTGTTATAATGAAATATGATCAGAAATCCTATGGACCCCATGGACCAGTTCATGCATAAATTTTTAAATGTGCAGTTAAATATTTAATGATATTATGATTGAACCTAATATGCTAATTTTTAAAATAAATTTTATGAATACTACTAAATTCAATTATTCTATGTGAATATTATATCATAGACATTCATAATTGACCTAAAAATATTTGTCGATGTTTGATGTAACAACCATCATACAAATTCGAAGTTTTATTCGCGATACACAATGAACCGCTGTATTAACTACAAATTACATCTTTCAAGTAACCGCTGTACAGCATATTTTCTTCTCCCTCATTTTACTAATTTGCACGAGTTATGACGGTGGTCTAGAAATTCGTTGCGTTGAAATTTTTATATATGCTGGAAAAAACTTCAACGGTAATTTTCTAAAATATAAAAAATTGAAATCTAGTGTATCAAAATATGGTTTGATAATACTTTTGTATCGAACTGTATAGTTTTATATGTGAAAAAGTTGAATTAAAAATCGCCCTTTCACGGGAAAAAAATTTTTTGTGTCTACTTTGTGGTTCATTTTCTTTCGATATGCGTTTTATGCTCGATTTCGTGTGATTCGTTGAAATGCTTCGTTCGTCAGACGACATTATAATATTGTGTCGGTAATTCGTGAAAAAATTTTCGTTGAAATAACTAAATTTGTATAAATTATTACTAAATATCATTTAATAATATGTGTGTAGTTATATAGGAGTATTAAATGCATCGTCATTTTTAATATATAAATAAATATATGTACATAATAATACAGATTAAAAACTTGCGAAAGCCGATTAATGTGAATAGTGAAAAGTGACAGAAGTGCTGTGAACAGCTATATAAACCCTGTAACGCCCCTGCACGAACAATACGTCCCTTACAAATTATATTTTACGACTTTTTCATTTGGGAGTTCCATTTGCTTCATTTCGCTGCGAAAAAGAAGAGCCATCATAGTGAAATGACAAAGAATTTTTTGCTCATAGTGTTGCCACTTATTTTCCTTTGATCACATTTTGTAATGCACGCTATTTTATTAATATATGATTATGTGCATATTCTATATTAATGTAATATATATATGTAATTTTCTGTATTAAGTTATACTTTGAATATTACATAAACACATTTTGCCAAAGAACTCATTTAAAAGTCGTAAAATTTATAAGTAGAAGTAATTGTAGGGTAGGGGTCATTACCTGCAATGATTTAAATATTTTTATGTATCGATAATCATATAATTGATCGATACATATAAATAATAATATTAAGTCTGAAATCACATATATTGATTATATTTAAAGAAATAGTTTTTAATGTTTAGTTTAAACCGATTATAAAAAGTACATGAAGAAATACAAATATCTAAAAAGGACCCTAAAAAGTGAAAATCCCACAAAATATTTCAAATACTTAGAAACATGAATAATGATGATATAAGAAACGATTTAAGTGTTTGCGCTGCTGCTTCAACAACTCAATCAAATAAAATTTTAACAGCAGAATCAACACAAACTACAACCAAACATGCACAAAAGAATGCAGGAAAAAATAAGCAAATTACAGCAAAGAAAAACATTCACAATAGCAATAAAAACAACAATAGCCTTAAATATCAAACACCACCACCAGCAGTAGCAGCAGCAGCAGCCATCACCACCACAACTACCACAACATCTACCAACAACAACAATGGTAAAAAATCTTTGAAAAATGCAACTGGAAGCAACAAAATGCTGCCTGTAGCCCCTGCCGTAATACCCGTAGAAAATAATAGTAGCTTTAATACCGATATAGCGAGTGGAAATGGCAACAACAACAATAATTTTACTAATAGTAATCAAAAATTGAAACTTAAAGTAAGTAACACACCATTAACAACTGCAACAGCGTCCACTTCGACCGCAGATACTGCCACTGCCAATGGGAATCAGGTAACAAGACCGATTGTTGTTAAAACAAGTGTTGCTGGATCAGTACCAGTACCAGTACCAGCAACCGAAACTCCAAGCAATGCAGCGGCAGTTTCTATTCCTGCGAATCCTTCTAAAATACCGAAAACGCCCGCTTCTGTTAGCAATACCAGCAAGGCTATTAGTGCCAGTGCTGCTGCAAAAAATGCACACGGTAGTAGTAAAAGTGCTGTGACGTCCAGTAAAACTGCCGCCGCTGCTGCAGCTGCAGCTGCATTTGCATTGCAACAACAAGCGAATGCTGTTGCTGTCTCCACATCATCGAAATCCGCCTCTAAATCACAAACGACAAAATCGAACTTAAAGTTTACCACAACATTACCATTCATAACTCGTACCGTGCCTACTGGTGGCGAAACAGCAGCTGCAGCTGCCATTAAGCAAAAGCTTAAGAGCGCCAAAGCAGCCATGAAGAACAAAACACAATCAGTATCGTCATCAACTTCTTCAAATTCTTCAATTTCATCATCGGCTGGCATTGTAAACGCCATTTCGAATGCATTGCAGAATATCATAACCAGCGATAATTCAGATACGGATACTGAGCTTTATCCTCCACCAGCGGATCTATCAGAATCTGATGAAGAATCAGTATCAGAGGTAAGTCTTCAAATTTGGTGTATGGGTTAATGTTTGGAGGTTTTATTTTATTTTATGAAATTCCCATTTGTATTTCGTTTCATTGTTTCTCATCAATCATGTTACAACAATTTCGTTTATTTGCCATTAAATTATATTTCATTGAACATTTGGTATTTTGTAAAATGTACATTTATATAGAAACAGTAGCTAAACATTTATATATAATTCAATATGTTAAATATGTAAATCTAAGGGATAATATTAGTGATAGTCCAATTTCATTCAACGGGTCTTTACTGAAATAATTTTTTAAATAGGAAAATTAAGTTTGTAGTTAAAATTTTCCAATTTTAATAATTTATAAATATTCTATATATATATTATATGAGAGTGGAATAAATATATAAATTATTTTATAAAATATGATTTACATTATAAATATTTATTTTTTTAAATAAATATTTAGGTTTATAAAATAAAAGTAAATAATAAATCATTAAATGAAGAGGAGTCATTATTTTTATTATATTTTATCTAAAAATTTTAAGTATAAACATTAGATTTTTTAAAATAGATTTAATAAATTATTATATGGACTCATTATTTTTACAATTTAATTTCAACTGTCCACTGATAAGCCTTAAATAATTTTTAAAGGGGTGGATGGTCTGGGTGGGTATTCACAGTGCACAGTGCATATAAGACAGTGTTGTATAGTCTATTAACTGGTTGCAAGTGCGGACGATAACTCCAATATATTGCAAAATTTGTTGGATATTGCAGGATATTGAATATACATATATATAATATATACATTTATAATACGTATAACACTATTTGTCTTAATTTATGTAATCTATTCTATGCACAATGCAATAGATTTATTCTCTACTACGTACGCGTAATGTAACTTTATTTTTCACATTTGAGAAAAAAGACGTAGAAAAGAAACAGAAACTGAGAAACAATTTCTCCAAAAATATTTCCAAAGTAAAATTGGATTTGCTTAAACAATTATCAGTTTATGTGTTAAACTTACTATCAACAATGCGTAACGACAAATATACAAAAAAACTAACGTTTAAAAAATAAAAAAAATTAAAAAAATAAAAATACCAGAATAAGAAATGCCGTTGCACTGCATTTATGCGAATGAAATCTTAAAAAGTGTGTGAAAATTATTAATCTAAATTATTTACAAACATACGTGCAAACATAGCTTGAGTAGAAAAACACAGTTACAAGCAAAAACAATCTACAGCCAGCCCAGCATATTAGATGGATCGGACATATCAGTACCGAGTAAAGGCAGAAAACGAAGTACGAAGCGGCACGGTCGGTGCGCAAGTATTTGTGCCATTCAAACACATGTTTGGTTCGATGTTTTTGTATGCTACGTTTAAATACATGCACACACACACATACACATGCACATTAACATAACACATACATAATTTCATGCAATACAGCCAGCAATGCTCATAGAATGTCAACGCAATCGAAAGAATAAAAAAGAGTGATTCGAAACGGAAATCAAAATAAAAAGTAATAATAAAATGGTTTAAGGCCGTCATATTACAATTTGAAAAATATTTCTATAAAATATTAAAGTAGGAAATTATGCTTATGAAACTATTGCAGTAAAAGTATTTTTTTCTGTGTGTCAGTGCTAAGCACTGCAGCAGCTTATAATCACAGATTAAGTATACTTAAAATCATTGTTATATAAATATATCGATATGACCTAGAAAATATTTTTAAAAACAAATATTATTGATAAAGTTGGAACCATTTATTATTGTCTGTGATTGAGTGATACAGATATTATACCATAGGTAGACTAATTTCAATAGATAATCTATTTCTGTTTTAAATACTATGTAAAATATACCAAAACCTATTACAATTTTTAATATATACTAATAGCAAATTGATAGTGGGATTGTTTATAATTTTAAATAAAAATTATAAAATGTTTCATAAATATAAGAGTTCCAATACCAGAACACTTGCTTCAAGAATTTCGATTTTGTAACAGATATCCGAAACAATCCACTGAAGAAATTAGTGTACCCAACAAACAATAGAGAACAATGTTTTAATTTCATTTGAAAAAATTATATCATGTTAAAAAATTGTGATTTTTGGTTGTAATATACATATGATCGCTTACATACACCTGAGGGGGTACATACTAAAAAGAAAGAAAGATGATTATTGAAAAATACTCTAATACGCAAATCTGTATTCTGTAATCTGTATAGCGTATCGATAAGCAGTTTTCTTCCTCACTACATCCGAAACACTTAGTCATAATAAAAAATAATCTAAATAAACAATATTCACTGCGCCATTAATTTGTTAGAATTATTATTCCTACAATTGGCATCTAATTTTCTTAATTTTATAGTGAATTTTAGTAAACAATGAGATTAACGTAACTACAAAATACAATTTAAAACCGGTTTTAGTAGAAACCTTTCTTAATGAAATGCATTATAACATTCATCTCTTTCTTGATGAAATCAAGAGATCTTTAGAATATATGTCTGTGGACATACTATGCATAATAACTATAAATCATAATATAATGTACAGAAAATTTTCTTCAAAGTGTAATAGACATAATATATCACTTTATTAACAAATGTAATAAACTTAGTAATAATTTAGATTATATAACAAGATTAAAGCGTTGCTTTTTGAGTTTCTAATGTCAGATGGTATATAACCACGTGTTGTTTCGACTGTTTTTAAATTTGTCTTACAATTGCTTTACGTATAAATAAATTTGAATATTTATCTATGAGTAACACCAGAAGTTCAACATGGTTTTTAAACTTCTGAATTTTCTTTATATGATAACACAATGGGCCAATAGGCTTGTAGCCTTTAGATAGCCGGTGTAACTTAACTTAACCTATATCTATGAGCATAGAAAAAAAGAAGTGGTCTATATCTACAATTTTTTTTATTATTTGTTTTAATAAATTGTTATTACGACCAATATTCAATTTTAATAAATTCTTACAATTTTTTTTTAAGATGACTAGCATGGTCCTAGTTGGGTTTGTTTCTTTCGTATTTTTGTATTGTGTATATAGGTACTATAAACATTAAAGTTCAGTCTGATAGAATTAAGACGCACATCTACACTGTTTTCGGCAAGACCAAAAATTATGTGCAAAACATGAACTTACAACAATTACTATGTTGTCTTATCTACTATAGAAATTTGTATGTATATACAAAATTCAATACAAATGATTTATTTAACATTAAAATTTCGTAAGCAGATTATTGATTTTCCAAGTAATTGACATATCAATAAAAAAAGCAAGTCCACTAAGTAATATATGTAAATATTTTCAATATCTGTCTGTTAATATTTTAGTAAACGATAGATATCGAGGATTTTAACACAATGAATATAAATATTCCGTAATTGAGGATTCGTTCTTGATTTTTCAATTGCATATGTAGGTATATACTTTATATCTCTAGAAGCTTAGATAATAGTTTAACTAGAATAGATCACTCGAACCATTTTAACCATTCTAGCCATACCATTCTAAAAACTTATATATAGTTTGAATTTATTTATGAAATGTCGATCTAAAATATCTTTCTCTGTAGTTGTATTTGAAGATTTTTAAAGATCTTATTTTGTTATATATTATAATAAATTTTTAGTTTTTTTTTAGCTAGTACAACTAATAGTAAACTTTTTATATATAAGTTTGTTTACAATACTCCAGCTGTTCGTTCTATACATACAAACTGATATGAATATGGATTTTAGTGAATGTATCTATGGTATAACATCAGGTACCTTTATCAATATAGTGGCTTTTAAAATTCTTCATAATTTTTAGTTTGTGCACAAAGAAACCCATTATATGCATAGTTGGTTAGCGTTCACTACACAGACAGCTCGCAGGGTCTAGGTAAATACGGTTTGTTTATTTTCCAATGTGCTGAAGTATATCACTTATATGAAAATGCTTGTGTTTGTATGCGTCTTTCATATATTTTCAAGGTTATTATATATATAATTAATGCATATTTATGTTGATTTACACCAGACTCAGTGAGTTTTTCGTCAGACATAAAATATTTTTTTTTTTTTAAACAATAAAACAAAAGTAGTAGACATAAGAAAATATATTGTAATCATATTATGACAAATATACTTTAATAAATAGTGGAGATAAGGCGTTTTGCACCGCTTGTAACTTAAGTTATAGAAAAGTTATTTTTGATAACAGTTTCAAAAAATAATAGTTATTTATGTAAAATATGAGTAACATCTAAAATTTTGCTACTCAAACTATTTATCGATTTTTACTTTCAGCTTACATACAATTACACATTTTTTAGTATTATACATTATACTTTTTGTAACTTAGTTTAGACGCATTATTATGAATAATTTGTGCATAGTTTTGCAGTATCTCTCAACATTTGCCTATATGGCTCCACCTTCAATTTACTGCTGTCAGTATTTATTGCTTGCTTCCACAGATTAACTACAGCTGACCCTAAAACATAAAATACAAAAAAAAAAAAAAAAAAACAAATAAAAGAAAAATATATACTCATAACGTATAACGTAGGGACATGATAATAGATACATAATATGTGTTTGTATACGTTTTGTGTTCTTTTTATTTATCGGTCTTCAAAACCGCTCAGTTTATAGTTTCAAGACACTTCATTCTTTACACATATTTCTAAAATTTATATTACAAAAACAACAAACAGTTTTGTTTCCTTTTGTTGTTTTTTTGTTTTTTTCTTTATTGACGAAAACCGTCTTCAACTTGTTTTATAAAATATTTCTGTTTTATTATAATTTCTTTCATCTTTCTCTTTAAAACTCATTCCATTTACTACTTGCACACTTGCACACAAATTTGCTTATAAAGAGCTCGAGTGTATAAGTTTTATATATTTTTAGGAGCTTGTGTCTGTGTTTGTTGCGAGTGGAATAAATTGTAAGAGAAGATGTGTACAAA